TTCGCTTCTTCGGCTCTCTTTGTGGTGGCGGTGGCGAAGGGGAGGAGGAGGTTTAGGGTTTCTGTTAAGTTATATAGGGAGGGTAAAATCTATGTGACTCAATGGGGGCATTCAGCCATCAACACGTGTGTGCTGACCTGTTACCCTTTTTTAATTTTTAATCTTATTTTTTATTGTGTGAGTAGGATATGATCCAACCTAAATTTCATATCTTTGATACCAAGGATACGAAGGTGAATCGGTGATGGCCATGTGTGAATATAGTTGTATCCAAGTTCCGACGCACCTTTTCATGGAAAATGCCGTCACGTTTTGATACAGGAAAACGGACAGCAATTTTCATATAAAAGATTCAACGCTATATAGTGTATTGGTCTTATACTTCAACACTATATTTGATAGTTTATATTTAACTTTATGAATAGAAACGTTACGATAACAATAAATTCGTTCCATGGTCATTCTTAGAAGGCCAACCAACTTGAATTTCTTGGATCATGATTAACCTGCTTTGTATATGGAAGGGGGTCTAGCGGAATCTGGTGAGCCCGACTTTGTCCTATTCAAGGGCACAGGCACAACCCCAGCATCAAGGGACCTGCAGAGCCCCTTCACTAAAGGGTTTTTAAGAACCACTTATGCTTATTAGCGATTTTAGAACCACATTGAAATTCAATTACTTTCTAAAATTGTCGTTGAAGTGCTTCTTGAAGAAAAAAATCATGTTGTATATATGCTTTTTATAAAATAAAATAAAAAACACTTTCAATTAATTTTTTCTAAAAAAAACATTATCTAAAGCATTATTAGTGATCTAGAAACGCTTTTAGTTATTTAAATCACTTTCAAATTAACAAGCTTGTGTACACTTGAAATCCCAAGTTCGATTTTGTCCACCCCCGTCATCAATTGAATACAAAAGGTCACAACACAACCCAGCCAAGTTCAGGCGGTGGCGTTTGATTCTCTTGGCGATCCAGTGGAGACGGATTGTGAAGCTAGCTAGGAGTACCTTTTAGTTAAATGATATACCCATGATTCTCATGATTCTCACTTCATTAGGCCTATTCATAAGATGTCTTGTAACATCTTCTATAAGTCCTAAGAAAAATATTCAAACAGAAGACCTGAAACCCCGAGAAAATATGTACGTATCAGGCTGCGTCTCTAGTGAAAGGATAATGTCGGAGAAAGTCACTTATAGTCATCAACTGAGATACTCAAAACCGATCACATTGTTAACTTACTCTAATACATGTAAATAGACATTAAGAATGAGTTGGCACACACCCGTCTTGTAAACTAGACATGTTTGTCTTTGTGTGTGTGTGTGTAGAATTTGGAAAATTTGCTTCCTCTGGAGAGCAACAATTTCTGCTCCTTTTGCATGTGCCATGCATAAACTGTGGACAGTATATTGTCGAAAACAAGTATTAAGACATGGCCTTTATTAATTACTTGGCAGAATACTACTTCTAAGCAGTAGCTCACCAGGATACATAACAAAAACAAATACTTGGAAGACAAACTAAGGGGGTACAATTCAAACGTTACATCTTATTTTGACCTTATCGATCGATTTATCTATATATAAAAGAAGCACTACTGCATATGCAACGACCATATCCGTGCATATCATTCCCTTAATTATTTATGAGGTTGAAGCCGACTGGAATGATGTTGACGATGCTGAGGAGGCCAGCGATGGTGTTTCCGATAAACTGCAACGGCGATGAGAGAAGGCCAGTCAACCCGGACAGACTTGAGTTGCAGGCGGACAGCGGTGTCTTAACCAGCAGCTTGCAATCCGACAATAGTGAATTGAGAAGAAACTGGAGAGGGTCCAATAAGATTGAAAAGATTCCGCTACCATTAGTTGTCACAGTTGAAATCACATTCCCCGCAGTTCCACACAACAGTTGAACAGTAGCATCTACAACAAATAAACATAACAAATTATGTATGGTGATATTAGAAATGTTTTCTTATCAGACTTTATATTCTCGTCATACTACATATTAGCCCATACACCCATACATTATGGTGAGGATCTATCCTGCGATTCTTATTCTGAAAACATAACCATCCAGACATGCAAAGAGAGCACTATTGTGGTGATGAAACTTATAAGAGTAAACCCATTAATGCTAATCTTACAACACATTCGTACTATGATGCGACGTGTGATGTATTAAATCAACATCAATAAAAACGTGGTATAAATTATGGTATGCTTAGCATTAGAAAATCTAAATATGATTGGTTAATTGGACTTGAGCGAGCTAAATAATTTACTTACTTGAGAATACTGGGGTAGCTGTAGCGCCACCGGTACCCACGTTACCGTTGGGAGTGCAGAATAGAGTTCCTTGTATGCGAATGAGACCAAGGAGGCCGCTGATGAGCCCAAGTTGAGCTTCTGCCATTGGAACTAGTACTATCGCCACTGCAGCAACCAAGAGGAACACAAAGAGGGTTGCTTTGAAAGCCATTGCTCCAAAGTGCACCAATTCAAGTATATATTCTTGCTAAGTTGCAAATGATGAACTGGCTTGCAGAACTGCCGTGCAGGGTTACCAATTTATAGGCTAAGCTCTGTAGCTGCAAGAGGGACAAGTTGCTGCAGATTTTTCTGACTAAATCGTCGGACATTCGGAATGCTCCTTGTGTATTTTTGGATGATCCGGAAAATCATGTGAAGAAAAAAGATAGCATTCTTGTCGTAAGTTATTTCCGTCAAAATCTAAGGTTGTTGTCATGGAGCTCATCCGTCATGCACGCGGCCTCAGAGGGTGGACATCACCCTACTATTTAAGCCAAGTTTCTTCCATTCAATCTCACTGAGGTAGCTAGTATGCCCTAATTAGTTTGTCAATAATATGAGACCTTGGTTGCTTTGTGACAAATTGCATTAATTGGCGAGTCCGTATGGCATGGACAACCAAGATGTAAAAGGTTAGTTCGAACTTTTTACCCACCCAGAATACGTGGTCTTCAATTTACTTCAGAAAGTTATAAGTAGCTAGGTCCATACTCTGTATATATATACACTTGTATGGCCCTAAACCTAAACGTTATTAATTTGACCGATTTGTTTCGACTTAAATGTAATGACCCCATGATCCGGGCAGCTACAAAATCAAGTTGCTTCTGGCTGCGGGCATCCACTAAGAAAGATGGAATATACTGCATACGCATTAGATCTTCGTCGACTCTTTGACAATGAAGTAAGGTGATACATAGATAAAAGAGCACGCAGTCTTGCACATGCCATATATTAGCCAACAGGATCCTCTCCGGATCCTTTTGGTGAGGATCCTAGACATCTGTGTATCGTGTCCGTTTATCGTACATCGTGCGGTTAGTTTTTGTCAAGTACTGTTTATGTTTATTTTTAAATAAAATATTTAAAATAATTTTTGACCACATGATGTACAATGAACGGACATGATTAACGGATTCTCGAGATCCTCATAAAAAGAATCTGGCAAGGATCCGGACTCATATATTAGGGGTTGTTCGAACTTTTCAACTCTCTTGCTCTGGCCCACGAAAGCCTATTTGACGGGCTAGGGCCGGGTTTTGAATTTCATTGTAGCTCGGCTCAACATGGCCTGCTAATATCACTTAACATTGACTAAGCCAGGCCCGGCTCAGGCCCATATAAACTGAGCTGAGCTAGTCTAGCCCGGCCCATTGATGACCCCATCTTCTAATTGATTCGACGTGTTTCTTTTTAACAGGAGTGCTCATGTTGTGATCTTCTGTACCATTTCTTTGTTCCTGTGATGTACAAAACTTACAAGAAACCAAACTGCATTACTTTGAGGTGGTTTTGCTTGAGTGTAGAGAGTGGGACGCTAAAAATGCTTGTTTATGACCTCTAATGAGTTGTATTTGTCACCCCTTGGAACTCCATAATGCCCATAACATTCACGAGCACAACATAAAAGTATGATTAGGCCAATTTTAAATTAATCAAGTAGAGCTGGGCCGACACGTTATGTACTTATTTGTATATTCCCTTATCAAATTCATAAGTGAAATAGTTATTTGATAAGTTGTATTTGTTATCTTTCGGAGACTTAGGCTTCATATGGAACATGCTAAAAAAAATTTCATAAACATGACATAAAGTATGATTGGACTTATTTATATAAGTCAGGTTGAGCTGGTCGACATGCTATATACTTATCTGTATATTATACTATTAATTTCATACTTCTTTCAGAGTAAATATTCATTGAATCATGTCAATACTCATGAGTATGAAGTTGTACTTAATTACTTCAAAATTAAAGTTAATATATATTTGTTGGTACTTTTTCTATTAATTAATCTCTTATCCGAAAATGTTAAAGATCATGTTTTTAGATCATATTTTATAGACTGTGATGTGACGATTGATGGTTGGAAACCTTCTTTAATGATTTATAGAAATCCAATAATAACTAACACATAATTTAGGGCTCGTTTGAAAGCGCTATTAAAATGACTAAAAACATTTTTTGAAAAAAAAAAAAAGAATTGGATTCTAAAAGCACTTGAAATGCTTCATGCTTTTGAAGCATTTTAAGTGTTTTTTCAGTATTCATTTGCATTTCTACTAAAGATTGATTCTAAAAACATTTTCACCAAAATCACTTTTAACTATTTTAAAAGCACTTCCAAACGAGTCTGTTGGCTACAAAATATGGTTGAAGTAATTAGTCTCTCTAGCATTACCCATCTCTTAGCATTTGCTTTCTATAAATATAGCGTTTCCACTTTGAGTGATTTTTCTTTTGAGATAATTTTGAGTGAAAGACCTAAAAACTGACTGTTCGAATTAGTAAGTAGAATACAAAATTCTTGAACTGAACGTGGTTATATATCACGTTAAACATTTTTTATAATATATCACATTAAACATGACCACACAAACCATGACATTAACAAGGAGTTGATGATAACAGAAATATTTGGAAATCAAAGGTGTTACACCCTTAATTGACCTTATTCATACATGAAAAATGTAATTAAGAAACAGCCGCATGGATGCCACGTTATTCTTTAAACTAATTAAGGCCCGTGGTCTTAGTTAATTAATATGGAGGACGAACCCAACTGGAGCGACATTGACGACGGTGTTTCCGACGAACTGCAAAGCTGATGTGAGAATTCCGGTCGGAGACAAGTTAACGTTGCAGCTGGCGAGTGGGGTGGTAACCACAAGCCTGCAGGTAGATAAAAGTGAAGAGAGAAGATAGTTTATGGAGTCCAGCAAGATTGAAAGGACTCCTGAACCAGTAGTTGTTACAGTTGAAACAACGTTGTTCCCAGAATCACACTGAAGCTGGACGGTAGCATCTACAAGAAAACATAAAAAAACTATGTCAAGGAAACTATTCTCTTGCCAAATTGTCTGGTTTCGACTTTCGACTATTGATCAAGTTAAACATTTGTCTATAGTGTAACATGAGAATATGGTATAATATTTGAAGATGTGTAATGTGATTCAAATTAAAAACAAGATGGTTATTAAACGACCCGTACGTGGTGAAAGTTAAACAAGTGAACAAACTAACTTACTTGCGAAAACTGGGGTAGCGTTGGGGCCACCGGGACCGACATTGCCATTGACAGTGCAATACAGAATCCCGTCAATGCGGATTACACTAAGAAGGGCAGGGATGATTTGGGATTGAGCTAGTGGAATTACCACAGCAGCAACCAAGAGGGGACACAAACAGAATGCTTTTGAAGGCCATTGCTCAATTGGATTACATAGCAATCTATATGTTAAACGACTACTTCTCCTTCTTGCTTTGATAAGTTGCAGACTTTTTCTTGCGCACAATTGCTGTGGAGGGCAACCGATTATTTATAGGCCATTGCAATCTGCAGGAGGGCAAGTTGCTGTATTTGTTTTTCTTTTCATATCTGGCAAACATGCATGCAATAACTGAATTCTGCTCTCTTCGGAAGTTTGTGTTAGAAGTTTAACAGATTCACTTTTCGGTGATCCGGAAAATCGTAAGTTATGGCCATAATAACAAAATTGTAGTTCCCATGCAGCTCGTTGTACGTCACCATGCATGCAGGCCGCCTTATCGGATGAAGCTTCACCCTACAAGTCAACAATTTGATCTCATCGTTGAGCTCTTTGATAGGGCATATATATTTTAATAAATAGTGTTATTTAGACACACAAAACTAATTACAATAATTGATATATGTGGAGTACTATGCTACTATACTATACTGAGGAACCCATTTTTATTTGAGAAAATATCAATAAGGCGATCAGTCTTGTGTGCTTAAATAACATTACTCAAATATTTTTTTTACCACAAGTGATATTCTACACTAGCTTATACTAAGGTTAGGAGTATAATTTAAACCAGAACACAATGAGTAAAATAAAAGTCCTAATCACCAAGACAACCCACTACTTACAAATAACATCTCTTATATAGTATTCTTTTAATTGTCGCAAACATGAAGCTAAATAAATAATTAGCACACTATAGTATGTGATGTAATAAAAACTAGAAGGTAATGTTATTTAGACACAAAAATTGATACAATCAACGGCACACACTTTAATATAAGTGAAATTTACCTACAATAAGCAATAACAAAACTTAAAAGCACCCTTGATGTAGAACACACCTTCCGTAAATCCATGAACAAACCTTAGCTATGCGTTCAGTTGAAAGACCAAATTAATCACTAAGTAGAGGCTTTGCACCTGAAATCATATTCACGGAAGAGATTTTTTCTATGGTGTTTCGGAGAATATGATACCTTGGAGCATCATTGAATTTTTGTTCACGAATATAGCCCATCAAAGTCAAATACCTGAATGGCCAAAATTCAGCCACTCGCATGTTGCCACGCGAGCACTAAAGAAAGAAAAATCAACTAAGCACAAAAGCGAAAAGGAACTCCACCCATTTAGAAGATCTTCATCATATCTTTTGCAAGCCTTGTACGTTTTACACCTTTGAGTAAATACCTAACTTTAGTTTGCTGGTACCGCTTTCAACTTTCCAAGTGAAGGTTGATCCTGTATTTTTTATATCAAAGGGCAAGATGATCATTCTCGTGCCTGTGTATTACAGGACATAGTACCAATTTCGGAGCATTTTCGCAATGGGGTTCGATACTCGGCCAAAAGGTACGGAGCGGAAGGAGGAGGAAGATTCACGTACTGGATTTTAAGAAAACTTTTTGAGCATTTCTGCAAAGATGCTGGAGGGAGAGCAGTTATACAAGGAATAGAGAAAAACCTTGAGCAGATACGGAAACAAAAGTTTCTTCGATACCGTGCATATCCCAGGGAGGTTCCAAACTAGAGAGTATGCAGCCTTAAGTGTTTAAGGATCAAGGGACCATACCTAACATGTATAACGTAATGCAAGGAGCTAATAATGCAGATGAAAGTATAATTTTATCAAAAATCAAAGAAACAAAACAAAAACGACAATGATCCGCCAAACAATGTTTTTCCTTCCATTTGACAAAAATGGTTCCCAATAACTTGCTGACTTTCCACATCTTGCCTACTCTTTAGCTGTCTTACTAGTTTTCTTGCTTTCTCCTGTCTTACCAAATTCAACTCAAATTGGGCACGGTGGGATATCAAGGGTAGTTCCAGCTTGAATCTGACCCCACCCAATAAGACGCCAGTGCTTCTCAACTCGTCGACTGAGCGCAATTTTCTCTCCTTTGCTGGTGCAAACTGGAGACGTGAGTTGCAACTTTGCCAAATCGTTCCTTACAGCAAGAACCCTAGCCCCTGTAGACATGGATCCTATATTCAACATGAGGATCTCCCCCTTGACCAGCTTTGAAACCTTTCCCTGCTTCTCGGACCCCTTTGTCCTGACCCCCAGAAGCCTTCTCAACAAGAAGAAGTTGACCTGCAAATTATACCACAATCTTCATCAACACCAAGGATTTATGCTTGACAACCGCTTCTGATAAACAAGATTTGTCTAGTTTGGGATGAGAAAACAAGAAACAAAAGACCCCGAAAGAATCAACATGCTAAAAAATCCAATAAAGAATAAACAAGAGAGTACGGTTAGAAAGCCAATATTATACCAAAGTTACACAACAGTCGCATTATCAAATGTAAAACAAAATGCACCGTCAACAAGCTCATGAATGAAGATGCGCACGCACACACAAGTTAGCCATTCTCTTAGAAACATCTCCTCAAGTTTTAACAAAGTATAAAGCATTATTGTAGCAGCAATCCCTTACCTCAAGCTCAACAAATACTTCAGGGAGTGACCCAACTTCACCAAGAACTTGACCCACTAATCTATCAGCACGTGTCAAAGTGGGATCCATGGTTGTCCCAACACCAATAAGACCTCCTGGCACCGCAAATTGCAACTCATTTTGCTCAGCATATAATGAGACAATTCTAGAATATATTGGTGTGCACTTGATGTTTCCACTCTCGTCTTTAACAACAATCCCAGGACGAACCTCGATAAATTGGTTCACTTTCAGAACACCCTACCACAACCACATTGTCAAATATGTTATTCATGAAAGATGTATGGAACTAACTACTTAAGAAACATTCCAAAATTCCGCAAATTATCATCCAATCAAGATATGTGTGCATATTTTCCCGACCCAAAATTCCACTACTAACTTAGAATGAGACCAGAAAAGGAAAAAGGAAACCTCAGATGCCGAGAGCTGACACTCAATGGAAATCATAGAAAACTGTACACTTTTGACAAAATATAACAATAAAAGACATACCCTGAGGATACTTCCACCAGCTACACCACCTCTAATCTCATCAACCTCGTACCCAGGTTTATTGACGTCAAAAGAACGTATAACAATCATATTGGGAGGTGAGATAAAGTTCCTTTCTGGAATGGGGATCTTTTTGACAATGTATTCACACACCACATCAATATTATACTTCAACTGTGCAGAAATTGGCACCACTGGTGCATTATCAGCTACAGTTCCCTGGTACACAATGTTTAATGATTAATGGACTGAGACCAATAAACCAGAAGAAAAAAAAAATGCTCCAAAGGAACTTACCTGAATAAACTTCCTGATTGCCTCATGTTGGTTGATGGCCACATTCTCCTGAATGAGATCAACTTTATTCTGAAGGATAATAATATGTTGAAGACGCATAATTTCAACAGCAGCCAGATGCTCAGAAGTTTGTGGTTGCGGACAGCTTTCGTTAGCAGCAATGAGAAGCAATGCTCCATCCATAATCGCGGCACCGTTAAGCATAGTAGCCATAAGAATATCGTGACCCTATAATAAAGTATGAAATAAATAACTTTTTAAGAAACATAACAAAATCAAACCAAGAAAAACAATGCGAAAGATGACAATCATTTAATAGAGAAAGTCTCTTGCAACTAATAAAATGTAGCAAGATCCCATGGGAAAAACCTTACGTCGATCCTACTAAATAACATGTTATCCATGAGTACAGCAAACAAAAACTAAGATCCACTCAGACAATATATAATTGATCAACACAAAGTATCAAGCTATCAGATCCTCTTATTAAGCAAGGATGACCAGGTACACACCACCATTTATTCACAACAGTTTAGTGTAGTCATAAATATTATGGCACAAAAATTTCACCACAAAGCCTTACCGGGCAATCTACAAAAGATACATGTCTCAACAATTTCATCCTGCAGTTCTCAAATCCAGGAACATCACAGAGAGGAGCGTCTTCCTTTCCACTTCCATATGCCCTAATAAAGAAATGAATAAACGTTAAGAAAATGGTAGAATGTGATCAAAGACAATTACATTAACTGGATGCCTACTTGTAGGCCATAGGTCGAGGGCACCGCTCATCTTCACACATGTATATCTTTGCATTGGCATATCCAAGCTTGATAGTAATGTTGCGCTCCAGCTCATTTTTAAAACGAACAGTCTGCATACCATTAATGTTCGATTTTTAATTTCTTAAAGATATAAACTTGCATTGGCATATCCAAGCTTAAATGCTCACAACACATATAAGCTAGAGAAATATAGCTCAAACTGACAAACCAATTATTGTGGTTAGTGAGATACACTACTAGAGCTTTAGCCAATAGCTTAAGGTTTTCGTACATAAAGCAACTTAGCAACAGTGAAATGAAAAAATCAGAGCACTGTTGACATATCTCCAGTAACCAAAGACAATATTGAATTTATTTTGATAGCACCAAACTATCAAACCTGTAGGGTAAGGTTACATTTATCCCTACTATCTCATACTAAACAAATTATCATCCTGGATAACATACTCCATACTATTAGATAGCTTCCATTTTAACGCTCAACTTAAGACATATCTCCACCAAGAATAAAAAGTATATGATCTGTAGCCATCTGAAATGATTAGTCACTTTTCGTAGTGAGATGTAGAAATACAATGATGCTCAACAACCTAAATTCTCTTATCCCGCAAATATAACACATTAGTATCCGAGAGAACATTTTCCTAATATATTTTTCCTTGGCTGTGAGCGTGCATTAGTAGCTCAAAGAGAATAAGCAGCGACAACCAGATACAACTTTTGTACACCTTCACGAGTGGAAACACATGCTTGCTTGTCTTTACAATGTCCAGGCATAAATAAACAGAAAAGACGTAAACAGTATCAAATGCAAAACGGAAACAACTAATCACCTGAACACCAGAAATTGCTTTTACAACTGTTGACTTTCCATGAGCCACATGACCAATAGTACCTGAAAGGCAACTCATATAAATCCAAATAAGTGCAAAATTACGACATGGTACCAACAAACAAATGATGGTCAAATCAATATAACAATGGCCATAATAATCTCAGAGCAGTTTAAACATCTGAGTTAAGATTACCAATATTGATAGTCGCCTGACGAGATATAACTTCAGGCGAGAGTGGATGCAACTTTGTTACATCCAGTTTACTCAGGTCTTGCTCCATCAAACCTTTCCTCGACATTTTGACAGTTACTTGAAGTAATCAGCTAACTGGGTGGTATCAAGGGTGACGAAATCCAAACTGTGAAAGACTGCATAAATCACCCAAATTGTTGATTAACAATAAGACTCAGTTGAAAACGGACACCGCTGCCACAATTCTTTTCAAAGTGAAAACCAGTATGCAATTGTAATAGTATTTGGTACAAAACCCTCCAAGTATTTAGTGCAATACCACATCAAATTTACCATGAACAAGATCATGAATAAAACGGTAACAGTGAAAAGATAACTAAATTTATACTAGAAACATTCATTTCAGAAGAAAATCCCATCTATTTCCAGATGACAAAAACCATTTTGTACAAAATGACCAATAAAATAACAAAGGACAAGATTAAAACCCTAAATTTCAGCGGGATCCATTGACGGCGGCCAACAGTAAAAACCACAGTACGGAACCAAGATGCCAAAACCCTAAATTTTCTATAAAGTATTATCTACAAAAATGCTCCTCTTTTACACCAGAAAAATAACAAACTGATAATAAAATAGCAATAAAATTTCGATTCTGAAAAACTCAAAAAATAACACACCCAAATCAAACAGCTCGAAAATCTCACAATAAAAATATAAAAAAAATTAAAAAAATTAAAAAAACAAAAAAGAAATATCAGTTTCTGTAGAGAGAGAGAGAGATTGGTACGGACCTGGACGATGGAGTTAGGGCAAGACGACGAGAGTGAGCGAGGTTTTCTGTTGAGCTGTATAGAGAGAGAGAGAGAGAGAGAAACACAGCCTGCACAGGTTTAAGGGTTATTCGCTGGCATCTCCACGTTCGCAAAATGTTACTGAGGGTGTTTTCGTTATTTGATAGTTAACCGAGGCACTGGTTTGGTAGTGCATTTCCGTCTGGCTTAGGCCCACTAGACCGGGGATTTTATTTTATTTTATTTTATTTTTTTTTATTTTTTGGGTAAAAACAAAATTGTTATTTTTACCGTCTATTCCCACCATCATTCATATTGTCTCTCTAACAGATGTAACAAATGGGACCCACATATGTTGATGAGTTTTACTTCTGTTAAAGAGATGGTACAAATAAATGGTAAATGAAGTACTACTCAAATGAAAAGAGTTATGTTTGACAAGGGATGGGTTCGGTTTCATTTGGTTCGGATCAATTTTCTTTTGATTTTTTTCGGTTCGGTTTGGTACAGTTTCGATTTTTTTATTTTACAAAACTTGATCATTTTTTGAATATGGAATTTAGAAAATAGGCTTGCATTGGTAGACTAATAATAAGAAAATGGGGAAAGTGGAATAATGGGAAGGTAGTTGTGTACATATACAAGATCATATAAACCAATCTTATGCTATCAACAACCTCAAGTGCAAAGAAAAATGGTCACCGTATCCATTCAAAAAGCAAACAAATAGAGAAGCTATTCCAAGTTCCAAAGCCTTCCAAAACTTTCCTCTATAACCAATGAAATGTCCTCCCTAATTGAACTAAGTATGCTCCTTGGAAAAGCCTAGGCTTAGTTTCAAACTTGGCAACAAAGTTTCACAAAAATGGGCATACATTCACAAAGTGTAAAGGGATTCGGTTCCATCCAAGCTCGATTTTGTCTGAAATGGTTCAGTTCGGTTTCTAAACCTCCAAAACCAAAACCGAACTAACAACGTTCCGTTCGGTTCGATTTTTTCTTTTTCGGTTTTCAATTTTTCTATTTCGATTCAATGTTCGGTCTGTTTTTTTTTCGATTTTTGATTTTTTGAACCCACCCATATGTTTCACCACATTATATTTGACATATTTGTTGTTGAAACCCAAAAGAAAAATAGTAGCTTATTTTCGCTGGGGTTTTTTTGGTTGATAAACAAGGCTAAAAGCAAGAGCCCAAACAAACCTACTCAATAATATACCTTTGATTCTCACGAATAAAACTAACTGAACAAGAAGGAGGAGTATCAAAATAAAAATTACCTAAATCTAAAACAAGACTATATATCGCTAAACTATCTGTCACAAAATTCTTTTCTTTATAGACATGCCAAGGTTCGCACTGCCAAGATCTTGAAAACAAATTCGGATAGGCCAAAACAAGGGGATCTAAATGATGATTATTTTTGTTGGGATTTTCATTTTATACAAAGTTGATGAAAAAGAAGTTTGAGCACTTGACTCGGGAGAAAGAATAACCGCTTTTAACCACTAAGTTATAGCCACTATAATAAAACGCTTTTGTTTTGCTTGAGATGCAAAAGATACAAAGCCAACAACTTCGAAGTGCAATGAGATTTAAAATGAACCACCCAGTTGCGGGAAATGCAAAGCACAAACTCACAAGACGTAGAAATGTGTTTGATATGCTATTGGTGACATATCATTTGGTTTGCAAATTTTATTTAAAATTTTGATCTCTCTAGCGTTATCCTATCAAATATGTCGTTTCCACACTAAAAACGTAATTCAATACTTAAAAAATTATGAATTTGATCGAGTAGGGAAAAGTAGTTGACCTCATTCTCGTTATCATTTATATTTTCTCAAATACATGACTTTCTCAATTCTAGATAGATAAACATGTTGTTAATCTAGTCTCGGTTTGATATAAATCTATATTTCATTAGAGATAAATTAATAAATTTTACTAGCATGTTAGTGCAACGCATAGCGGGTACGAAGATATGAGTACATAATTGAAAGTAAATAAAAACAAAAGTCTAGATTAAAATGATACAAGATTCAAACATGTTACATCTTCCAACAAAATTAAAAAATACAACTAAATCAGCAGGACAAATATTGACAAGTGGCATTTTACCGCAATTGTGGAAAGATGTTGAATCATTGCATGACGACATGGGTTCAAATTCTGTCGATGGCTAATTTAACATCTAGTCTAACAAAATATATCGTTTGACAAAAAAAAAAAATATAAATATCGAAATTGAAACGAACAAAACTCCATAATATATATATATATATATATATATATATATATATATATATTGATCCCTATACAATTCTCACAATAATCTTCCATTGGCATATGCAAGAATGCCAAGTTTTATTCCTATAAAGAGTAATTAACCAAGAAACACTAAATATATAATATATTAGAAACTCAATTTAATTCTAACTTTATTTTCCACATCTATATATCTTTTTCTTTTCTTTTCTTTTTTTCTGAATTCTCCTATATTTTTCCTCGAAATACATAAAAAATCTAATACAAAAACATCACATAGCGGAGCCTGCATCTCTATCCTTAGAGTCACCAAAAATACGCTGCCTGAAGTCTGTAACCATGAGCGGCAACCCCTTGCGGAGGGACACGGTGGGCTCCCACCCTAGAAGCTCCTTAGCCTTGGAAATGTCCGGCTTCCTCTTGTGCGGGTCGTCCTCTGTGTTGGGCCTGAACTCTATCTTCGCATTTGGATCTATTGTGTCTTGCACAACCTGTACATACAAGCAGGAGTAAGGAGCAGGAATTCAAACTCGAGACTTCGAGTTGTGAATTGTTTGTTTAAATAGTTAATGAGTTTGATTAATTTTACCTGGGCAAGTTCTAGCATGGTGAATTCGCCAGGGTTGCCAAGGTTGAAAGGGCCTACATGATTTCCTTCCATCAGCCGCATTAGACCCTCGACCTAGTTCCACATAAGCAATGCACGACACAAATTGTTAAGTACATTTCAGTTTTAATTGTTTGAATCAAGAGGAATTGCTACCATAAGCATTTTCAGTGGTTGCTAGGGTTCGTTTGATGGGCCGGACTTCTCAGATCTGACGGGTTTAGACACGGCCTAAGTAAGTACACTGGAAAACGTCTAGCCAAACCTACACCAATATAAGGACACACACCATTGTCTTCATACTATGTCCGAGAAAATTGCATTCCAACATTAGTCGTGCATAAATTACTATCCGAATATGGTTGTGGCCTCTATCATGAGAAAAAATTAAGTAGAGTGTCTGATCACGTTACTCGTAAAGTATCTTTCACAAAATCATGAGGCATTATGTATTTTGATTTCATTCGACATCACGCTTATCTCACTCAGTGTGAGAGTTGTTCTAATCAGAAAATGTGAACACAATTTTCTCCTGTATCAGATCCCATGACTAAGAGAGGACAATCACCACTTGCCTCTTTGTGGAAAATTCTGCAGAAGGATTAATGATTTAATGTATATGCTGCAGTGACAGAGACTCATATATACAAAGACTCCCATACAACCTTCACTTTAAAACAGTAACAAAATAGTCTATAACCACCTTTGACCTTAATGCTAATTTAGACAGAGACGTGATTAATGTAAAATAGCAATTAGAAATTCATAGTTAATTAGTGCATTAACGGAATAAAGGAGAAGAATTATAGTACCAAGTCAGAAACGTATTGGAAACTTCTGGTTTGCTTGCCATCTCCATAAACTGTCAATGGCTCAGTCCTTAATGCCTGTATATTCCACAGAGACATCAAATTTGTCGGGAAAAAGATGTAACAAGGCCTAAAACAACATTACAAGTATAAAACTGCTCACCTGAGCTACGAAATTGCTAACAACAGGACCATCATCGATGCACATACGCGGTCCATAAGTGTTGAAAATCCGAGCAATCCTCACCTGCACGACATTCTATACATTAGAACCCTAAGTGCAACTATTTTAATATTCGTCTCAAGTTTTGGGTGTGATCTAGAATCATTTGAAACCGAGATACATATAACCAAATGACAAGGAGAGAAATAATATGAGAGAAAATAATGTGACCTCAATGCCAAGGCCTCTGTGGTAGTCCATGGTCAGAGTCTCTGCTGTGCGTTTTCCCTCATCGTAGCAGCTCCGTACACCTGCCAATGCGAACAGAAAGCATCTATGAAATCATTAATTTACCGATCGCGTTGCTGATTATATATTTCACCGTGAATTTTTTGTGAGCAATGCAACCAAGTAAATACAGTACATATTTTACTCGTCTCGCTATTGAAACAAACATCAGTAATGTGATTAGTAAACGTGGTATAGTTTGATATTCTCGTAGAGTTTCATCATATCGGGGTCGAGCGGAGACAGAGAGAGGGAGAGTGACTCACCGATGGGGTTGACATTACCCCAGTAGGACTCGACCTGAGGGTGCTGCAAGGGGTCACCGTAAACCTCACTGGTGCTTGTCAGCAAGAAGCGTGCACCAACCCTTTTTGCCAGTCCAAGCATGTTCAGTGTTCCCACCACATTTGTCTTGTGAAACCCCAGCTCAGACAACAAATTAAGGACCTCAGGCAAATACACATTCACCACAAACAAGAAATTAAAAATTTTACGTGTTAAAGCATGTCATAAGGGTAATGCTTAAATTTGCAAAATTAAATGATGTGTCACCAATAGGAATATGCACGTTTATCAACGTTTAAGTAATAAACCAATCATCAACTTCCATGTCCTTTAGTTTTTAAAATTTTGTCTACAAATTTAGTCTCCCTAGCATTACTCCATGTCATAATATTATAGTTATCACAAAAAAATGCATGTAATAAATACCAACCATGCATACAAGCACAAGAAATAAAAATAGAAACAAGAGAAGACAGGATATAATTGTCTTGACCGGATTGAACTTGTAATGCACAGGGGATGCCGGGCAAGCGAGGTGGTAGATCTGGTCAACCTCCAACAATATCGGCTCGACCACGTCGTGTCGAATCAGCTCGAACTTCGGGTTCCCGAAGTGGTGCGCCAAGTTCTCCTTCCTCCCGGTAAAAAAATTATCCAGCACGATCACGCTGTCCCCTCTCGCGATCAGACGGTCCACGAGGTGGCTCCCCACGAACCCGGCCCCACCCGTCACAACAATCCTCATGTTCTTCTTCCTCATCCCCAGCGGTACCTTCCCTCCCACATTCCGCGTCTCCAACAGCACCCTCCGGATAGGGTTGGCCGGTTGATCAATACCCGGCTTATCAGAACCTAATCCGGATTCGAGACGAGGGTCGTGAACGGATTCCACTAGTGGGTTCGATGCCAGGAAGGTGGTGAAGAAGAAAACAGCGATGGCGACACCAATGAGGACGAAGATAAAACGCTGCTCGCGGAGCATGTATCGAATGGGGTTGGCGGAGGAATGGGGAGGCTTGTGGTTGGTTTGTGGTTCGAGAACGGGTTGTGATTGGTCGTCATTTTGTTGATTATGTTGGGTTCTGTGAACTAATGACAGATTATCGGAGCTGCTGGCCATAATTTTCACTTGGATTTCTGTCTAGTTTTCAGACTTTTGATGGGGAAGTTTTTGGAGAGATGAAGAATGGAAAGGGTGGGCAGAAGAGGAGCATGTGGGGAGGGATAGAGGGAGGGAGGGGTAGTGTGGGTGGGGATGGGGAGAGGAGTTTTTTGGGTGGAAGTGGTGGGTAAATGGGGACTTTCATGCATGAAATTTGGCCGGATAATCGTTCTAAGGCGCGCGATTGGTGGGTGCATCTATGTAGGTTTTGGCTTTTTAGGCAATGAGGTGGGGGATTTACTTGCTTACTTTGTCACTAAACTAGATTGTGTGTTGTTTTACAGAGCTTTTGTAATGTAATAAGTAATGTTAGGTAAGCATATTATTGGCACGTTTTGGATTTCTCTAGAAAGTAGGGTGAGCATATTAAGTACTTCTGCTTATAAACATTAGTGTTACAAGTTTGTAGAAATTTTAACGAAAAAATTCAAATGTTATCTAAAAGACACTTAGAAGTTTTTCAACAAGTGTGTTCACAGAAAACACTTTTTAACCCTTGTAAAAACAATGTCAAACACGCCCCATTCTTTAGATAAAATTTTGATTGATGACAATGTATTATTTGTGGACTCACTTTGGAATTTATTCGTTCACATCAAATAAAAGAACTGGACTTAGCTGCTGCAAATTCAGCAGCAACTGCTGCTTACATCTAATCATGGCTGGACACGTGTTCAAAATTTGATTTTTTCTAATCAAAACTTGGATACATGTCCAACCAAAATTGGGTGTAAGCAGCAGCTGTTGCTTAATTCTTCATGAGTGAAGTTAAATCCCAAATAAAATGTCACCAGCTGTCAATACACTACACCATGGTGTAATACGTTCGTGTCCTATAAGGACAGGCTGTTTTGATGTTTTAATTACCGTGGGATGGTCAAAATTCAGGCAACAATATGGGCATGTCATCAATTCACATAGTACCACGTGGCAGATGACAGAATTGCCAAGTGTTCACTTCGAAACATGACCTAAAGGTTGCTTTTGTGGATTGTGTTATTTATGCACGTCTTTTTACCTTTTACATACCTTTATAAACTTTTGTCGATTGATTTTATTCTATTAATTCGATTCGACGATCAAAAATTTAAAAAAAAAAAAAAAAATGTAAGAAGTAAAAATGGGTAGATGGATAGCACCACCCTAGTAGAAAGGTGGCATCCAAACACTAAATAGAATTCCCCTAAACCTAGCAACAATTTTCTTCCCTTGGAGATGGGAAAGAATGTAGCGTTGCCACATGCACAAGCTCATTGATTATGAAAAAAAGAAAATGTGAAATTAGAGCGAGAATTTTGCAAAAATTAAAATTTAAGTTTTTAAGAAAAAAAAAGTTTGTGTATCAATTGGTTAAATGTATTTAATTTTGCGCCTGAAATTTTGAATTTGACATGTATGACACACACCGCATTGGTTTTGAAAACCAAATGAACATGGCATCGCAAACAAAGGCAAACATGTTGGTTGTCGCTCAACATGTGGTCAGTCTACATATTAAGGATTATCTTCCCACTTCCAAGTTCCAACGCAAATATTCAGTAGTGTTTTTCCAATCGACTAAGTAGCTCTTCGTCTAACCATATTTCTCTTCTCAATATCAGATCTCTGTTACCGTCCCGGTTTATCAAAACAGTAGAATGAATGGACGAGGGTATCGAATTTTTCAAGATTGCAAGAAAAACACAAGAATTATGCACTGCAAACTGCAAGGTTTTCCACTACTTCAAAATAAATTATTTCTGGAACTGGTTCAGGCGCATGGTAGGAACATATTCAACTATGAGTAATATAACACAAAAATTTGTATAGTTTATCTCATAGCAACGAGCAGTGCAACTGTAAGTCTGTAACGACCACTCACTAAAATAATAAAGACAATCACTTGTGAGATAATATTACACCTCGGTGAACAGAGAAACTACGACGGAGGATCAACTCTAAAACCGTCGAATGTCTTTCGGAGGCCTAAAGTTGAGAGGGTGGGTTTCTGGAGTGGCATTTTCATCTTGCCTCCACATCTTGATAGTCTTATCGGCTTCACAACTGACCAGCCTCGTACCCGTGATGTCGTATGAAAGAGCATATATACCAGCTTCACTATCCAGCGAGCCTGTAATAAAAGCACATCTAGGGGTTAGCATCCCTTCTTGCTACAATCAACCGCAAAAGTAGGGCGCCAGCAAAATAAACATACCAGGCTGTACAATTGTTTGGGATTGCTGAAAATTGTGACCGCTCTTCCAATCCCAGAACCACATGCTCCCATTATCGCCTTCAATAAAACAAAGGCGCAAAAGATTAGAATTACCAAGTTTTATGAAACGAACTAAGATCATTCCCTTATTGCCCTTTCATATGTAAAAAATTCATACCTCCAGTGGCCATAACTCCATCCTCGTTGACAGCCATTGCATTGATTATTGTTTTCTGCTGAGAGCTGTCCATACACAAGGAAAATTTTTGGAACGTTGTGATAAAAAAAATATCCCAAAGAGTTCATATAGTTCATATTAATCAGCAATATACTCAATTCACGATACATTCAGTTTGTCAGAAAAAGGTACCCAACTCTAAATACATACAAGACAGATCACATCCATTGCAATTTCAAAGTGCTACACCACTAATACTTTAAAATGCTCTAATAGCATGAGTAGAAAGCAACTATAAGGCTTGGCATGCATTTCTCCAGGCCATGAATCTGAATTATATAACACACTTAAGAACTGATGAGAAAACAATAACACGCACACCCAAGTAGTAACACAAACCACCTCAGCATATGCTTATAACTCAAAATTGTTCAATTGGTGAACCATGTGTAAGTTTTCGGTTTCAATGGATCCATCGCAAGCAAAACAATCCCTATTACGCTCCAGATCAGAGGTTTTGCATTGCATCTTGGCTAACGTTATGGTGCCTGTGCGTTGAGCAGCCTAATTGACTTGCTACAAAGGGAATGTGTGCATAAAAAAGAACAAGAAAAAGGAGCGCAATACCTTATCAAACACAAGGACACATTGGCACAACTATTTATCCATGACAAGTTCATTACCTAGCTAGGCTTAAGCAGAGAAACATACGAACCATCAATCTTAATATCGCTTATCATTCTTCAAATAAAGAATACATCACAGACATATAATAGGAAAGAAGAGCAAATGGTAAATGTATCATTCCAGGAACAACATATATGAAAAGATACGGTTTATTCAAATACTCACAGCATGTTGTGTAAAAACATATATGAAAAGATACCGTTTATTCAAATACTCACAGCATGTTGTGTAAAAATTCGCCTCTTGGGAGGCTGAACTTCTTAATATTATCAGCTGATGCAGATGCAAAACATTGCCTGAAAACCGAACACAATTAGAAAGAGCAAAGCATATAATTTACAAGGGCATAATAACAAACACAACCAGGATTATTCACTACACGTGAAGTACTAAGTACATGAATCAGCACATACTCTTTAGGATGCTGGGCCATTGCACGCACAGACTTTTTATGGTGTGTCAGAGTTGACATTGTTTTTCCTGAGACAAATGAAAATTGATACTTAAAAAAGAAGGAAATACCAAAACTGAAATGAGTTTTAACTTACAGAACATAAATTACCATATCTAAGGTCCCAGAACTTGATGGTTGTGTCATGAGAGCCAGTAACAACTTGTGGATCCTGCAAACAGTAGACAATAAACTATAAGGAATATTGCCTCTCTTAACAATAAAATGAGAAGTGGCCAGAAAACCGTCAAAAGAGTTTCCACATATAGAAATCTAGCTATCAACCTAAAAAAAAACCTCAGAGATGTAATGTTTAACACAAAACTAGAAATTCAAAGTGCCAGTGAATTCAATTCACTGCAGCTTATTAATTAACTTCTATAGAAAAGAAATGAGGACTACGGATTACAGGACTCAAAATATTTAAAAGAATGATGTAACACTGAAGGATATCTAACATAAACATAATACTATTCTCAGGACATGACAATATGAATTGCTAAACATTGAATGTTTTGCCAGATGGGGAGACCAAGAATTAAACAATGAAAAACCATGACCTTGAATCCCAATCTCTAAAGAAGACACCAATAACAATATAAGCTATCATTATGAATTGTTTGGATCTAAAATATTGTCAGCATGCATACTCCACAATATAGTCAGAACATGGTAAAGAAAACAGAAGAGTTTTTCATACTGTTGGTCGAGTAAAAACAGAACAAACTGTGTTGTCATGCCCCGACAACGCATGAACTTGCATCTTGCTTCGAATATCCCAAACCTGAAAGATTTATTGCACCAAAACAAAGGTATTATTAACACAGTACCACTCTGATAAATATTACAACAATCACTTTGCTCAATCCCCAAGAGTGCTTCCTCCATTATAGTATGCAGGATTTGAATTTTAATAGGATAATTACATACCCGGCATACAGAATCACGTCCCCCGGTAAGTAAAACATCAAGAGTGGGATGAAGAGCCAAGCAGTAAACACCACTTAGATGACCATGATATGAACGGATAACCTGCACAACAATTTATCTGTTGTAACAACCAGCATTACTTACAGAACACAACCGCAATAAAGATCTCAAAAATATTAAGTAGAAGTATTAACCTTATTCTGTTCAAGATCCCAGCATTTAACTAGTTTGTCATCTCCAGCAGAGAACATATAGGTATGCCTGCTGCTAACCGCAAGGCCTGCAAAAACCCAAGCACTTATTGTTACCAACAGCATCATTAACCACAGCATGGTTAACCAAAATAAACGAACAGCCAAGAGAAACGAACCTCGTATTTGCTCGATGTGTCCTGTCACTGTCAGTTGTAGAGTTCCAGTTGCAACATCCCAAATCTGATAAACCAAAATCAGAAGACAATCCAAAAGAACATGAAATAAACACTCACACGACAAGAAAAGAGAACACAAACTAATAATAAAAAATGACAAGTGATTTTAACTTTCTGCAGAGGAGGAAATGAGAAAACATAGCAAGAAAAAGGGGAAGGAAAACAACTCAGACGGACCAACTCAGACAAATGAA